ATACTATGACCCTGTGTGTGGCACTGACGGAAGGACCCTACTCCAACAGAGAGCTGTCTGGAAGCCACTTGCACTGCGACTATCCCTACCTCACCATGGCTTACCACGGCCGCTGTATTGTAGTAAGTGTGAGGCAATACCCGCCACTCCTGTCAGGTGTGGTCACTTGGCCCATTGTTAGTAACTGGTACATAATTCACACCATATTCCCACTCTGCCTTAGAGCTATGGCAAACTATATACGAACAGTACAGCCCCGAGTCATTGTAGTGACGGCAGCACTACCGTGTGTGTGTGTGTGTAGACATGAACAAGTATGTGAAGACATTTCTTACATGATTTTTTACTGCACGTTGCTCTCGCTTAACTCATATCGTACAAGACTCTGTGGCTATCTTCCTCCCTATCTTCTATTTACTCCTTGTTTCTAACCCACCAGAAGTAAGATAAGATAATGATGAAATAGAACATAGAGTAGATGAGTCAGAAGAATTTATAATGATAAGACGGAAGGGGTTATGTGAGGCGATAGTAATGGATCGACCAGCCAGTCTGTGCTCACGTGTTGTCTGTTGTTGTCAGGTCCATATGATCAGTTGGTAGATGTCAGCTGTTATCTAAAGTCAGTCACCTGCAATTGATGCGCTTCAATCAACAACTATCCAGTCAAAGAAGTCAATGCCAGCAACTGTCAGTCGGTGTCAGCATCAGATAACCTGTATAGATTGGTGTCAGGGTTCACCATTAATGACGACAAAATAAATTATGGTATTATGGTTTTGATTTCCTACGGCTTTCTGGTGGCGAAAGTTTGAAACCGAGCTTGCGCCGACAACTAACTCCTTTAAGCTTTGTCATTATATAGCAAACAAAGTCTATTTTCTTCAAGTTTTACTCATCTTATTTTATTTTCTCTCAAGTCTTTTCTTGTGGCTAAAAAGATAGAAATGGTTTGTGGCTGTCTATATCGTGTCCTGATGACGACTTCTCCTGCTTTAAAAAGTGCGTTCTGCAATGGCTGAAGAGTAATTAGCGACGCATCACTCGTCACCATCTGTGGACGTTGGAGGGTCAGGTTGGCAAGGAGGCGCAGCCATGAGAACGTTGTCTCCTCTCACGCCTTCTTGTTGCTGGTGGGGCCGCTCGGCCTCAAAAATTGAAGTCCTTGGTGGCATCATGAGCGATGGTAATTAAACAGCAACGGCTTAGGGAGGTTTTGTTCAAGTGTTTGTGCCTGGTTGGTCACACCTAGAGGAACCTCCTGTCGTTTTTTGGTATCGCCAGCCCTCTTGTAAATATGTCGGTTTGTCTATGGGAAACAGAATAACACAGTTAAAAGTGAGGTTGTTAATGTCTCGTCACTAGATGGAACCAAAACATATGTTTGGCTTTTTCTAATATATAATAAATAGTTTAAAATATAAAAATATAATCATTATATTCTCAGAATGCTCCGGACGTCAAACAAAAGTTTACGTTCATCACAAATTTAATCTGTTATAATTAACTAACTGTGCGGACATTTTGAGGTGCTTTTTTGCATAAATGATGACCTAGATAGATCAAAAGGTTATCACCATTGGCCATTTATTTAATCGTCATATCCCAGAAACTTCTGGATAAAAATTCTTCACATCTCATCCAAGAAGACTTTTGTAGAACCCACCATCAACATAAAATACAAACCAAAAGCGAAAGAGGTAAATGGCGTCTGGCATGGGATTTCCTCACTGCAGCAGCAGCATGCGCAACCTTAGGGCAGGCAGGGGTCCTCATCCATTGAACGTGACAAGTTTTAAATGGTTAGTAAAATAATCTCTGTAGCACCAACGTGTTGTATTACGTTTAAATGGCTTTTATTATACAGTGTAAGTTGGGGTTACAAAGATACCGTGTTGTGGTTGTCCTGGGTGTGGCAAGAGTCCATTAGGCGATACAGATTTACCGGCCGTGTTGACGGCTGTCAGAACACTTCTGGCGTGACTCACGCCTAACCAAACCTCAAGCCACCCTCCGTCGGGCCACGCGTGATGGTACGCTCGCTGGCCTGCATGTGATAATGGTGTGTTTATATCAGGACGATAAACAAAGACCACCTGTGTCGTACTGTGGCATCGATGATATAGCTTGGAGCCTCAGCCCAGCGTCTACGCCAATGGTTGTCGGCTCTTGGTCGAATGCGCTTGCTGACGGTGGTGTCTGACGGAGTGTTACAGTGAAAGAGGTCGGGGTGAGACTTTGTAGCTGTTTGCTCCTCGGCCTGCTAGAAGATAGGTTAATAAACATTGGCCTTTTGTTGCTGTAGTTGTCCCATATAAGTTTAATTAATTATAAACACAGTTGTTATTGTGTAGTTGACACCTGTTAGTGTGATTGGCTGGATACAGGGGAGAAGGGGTTTATGTGGCCAAGAGAAACAGGCAGACAGAGAGACCATAGCGATACTGAAGTTGTTTTTCTCGGCAGGATCACTCCAACACCTGCATGATAGAGAGTAGCGATGATGTTGGGCGCCGCCCTCCCTGCCTGCTCGTGCTGACGTTGGCAGATGTGCCAGCCAGCTGGTCTCCTAGCTATAGTAACGTGTTTGCCGTCTTCGCTCACCCCGAGCCTGTTTTCTTTATATAACACGAGAGGAATAAATGGCCATAACCCAGTCAGCTCTGTGACGGGTGAGAACATTTGCCTGTCTGTCTACATTATTCTTTGGCCTTAGAGAATCTATATGTAACCGACATCTCTTAAACTTCTCAGTATAAAGGAAATAACGGATAAGTCAACAAATGTTACTGTGTTGGTACACGATAAAGGTCAACAGATAACAGTTCACTAACAAATTACCTGTTTCAGTGACGCCCGGGTGTCCCCAGATCGTGTACTAAATGCTATCACCCTGTGGTAATGGCAGCAATGGTAGACCTACTCCAACAGAGCTGCCTGGACGCCGCTACCTGCTACTCTCCCTACCTCACCGTGAAACACCCCGGCCCCGCCCGTAGTAAGTGTCGAACGCGGCTTTATCATCCTTCACAACTGATCGATTAGTTAGCCGCAGGAGGTCGTCCACATCTTTCTTGCGCACTGTTGGCAAGTCCTGGGCGTGGTACCCGCACCTTTTCAGTGTAAGGCAATACCGCCGCTCCCTGTGTTAGTGTGAGTCTGCTGTACATTGTTAATAACTGGTACATAGTCCACACCATATTCCCGCTCACGCTTAGAGCTATGGCAAACTGTATACGAGACAGTACAGCTCCGAGTGTTGTAGTGACGGCAGCACTACCGTGTGTGTGTGTGTGTAGACATGAACAAGTATATGAAGACATTTCTTACATGATTTTTTACTGCACGTTGCTCTCACTCACTCCACTTATCGTACAAGACTCTGTGGCTATCTTCCTCTCTATCTTCTCTTCCTCTTGTTCTAACCCACCAAGAAGTAAGATAAGAATAATGATAGATAAGAACATAGAGTAGATAGGTGGAAAATTTATAATGATAGGAACGGAAGAGTTATGTGAGGCGTGTGTGGATCCACCAACCAGTCTGTGCTCACGTGTTGTCTGTTGTTGTCAGGTCCTGTGATCAGTTGGTAGATGTCAGCTGGTATCTAAAGTCAGTCACCTGCAATTGATGCCTTCAATCAACAACTGTCAGTCAAGAAAGTCAATGCCAGCAACTGTCAGTCGGTGTCAGCATCAGATAACCTGTATAGATTGGTGTCAGGGTTCACCGTGTGACAAATAAATTGTAAATTATTACTATGGTTTTGTTCTATACCAACTTTAAAGCGGCGGAAAGTTTGAGGCAAACTTACTGCCGACAGCCAACTCCTTCAGCATCATTATATAGCAAACAAAGTCTATTTTCTTCAAGTTTCCTCATCTTATTTTATTTTCTCTCAAGTCTTCTCTGTGGCTAAAAAAGATAGAAAATACTTTGGCTGTCTATCGTGTCTGATGACGACTTCTCCTGCTTTAAAAGATGCGTTCTGCAATGGCTGAAGAGAGTAATTAGCGACGCACATCACTTGTCACCATCTGGACGTTGGAGGGTCAGGTTGTAGGAGGCGCAGCCATGAGCGATTGTCTCCTCTCACGCCTTCTTGTTGCTGGTGAGGCCGCTCAGCCTCAAAGAATTGAAGTCCTTGGTGGCAGCATGAGCGATGGTAATTAAACAGAGGCAGCTTGAGGAGTTTTGTTCAAGTGTTTGTGCCTGGTTGGTCACACCTAAGAGGAACCTCCCATATTTTGTCCGTTTTGGTATCGCCAGCCTCTTGTAAATATTGTCCGGTTTTAGCTCTTATGGGAAACAGAATAACACAGTTAAAGTGAAGTTGTTAATGTCTCGTCACTAGATGGAACCAAAACATATGTTTGGCTTTTCTAATATATAATAAATAGTTTAAAAAATATAAAAATATAATCATTACATTCTCAGAATAACTCGGACGTCAAAAAGAAAAGTTTACGTTCATCACAAATTAAATCTGTTATAGTAACTAACTGTGCGGACATTTTGAGGTGGCACATAAATGATGACCTAGATGGGTCAAAGGTTATCACCGTGGCCATTTTATTTAATCGTCATATCCCAGAAACTTCTGGATAAAAATTCTTCACATCTCATCAGAAGACTTTGTAGAACCCACCATCAACTTATAAAATATAAACAAAAGCGAAGAGGTAAATGGCGTCACAAGCATGGGATTTCTCACTGCAGCGGCAGCATCGCGGCTTGGGGCAGGCAGGGGTCCTCATCCATTGAACGTGACAAGGTTTTAAATTCTTAGATAAACAATGTCTGAAGACTCACCGTGTTGCACCATCTTGCATCACCCATTGAAATCACCTCGAGAAACACAAATTGACCAATGATTCCCAGCGTGGCTTTACAAGTGGGTATTTATGTCTGACGTCTATTATCATACTTTTCTACTGTTTTTGAATCAGTGGATGATGAGCACGACTATGATGTGGTATATCTCGACTTTAGCAAAGACTTCGACACAGTCCCCCACGAAAGACTAATACGTAAAGTGGAGGCTCATAGAATTGGAGGAGATATTCTAAAGTGGATTAGGGCGTGGTTACAGAACAGGAAACAACGAGTCAGCATTAACGGCACTAAATCCGATTGGGGTAACGTCACTAGTGGAGTACACTAAGGCTCAGTACTTGGACCATTACTATTTATTATATATGTAAACGACATAGATGAAGGGGTAGGCAGTAAATTTGCTGGCGACACTAAAATAGGGCGTGTAATTAAATCTGACGAGGACTCCGCAAAACTACAAGAAGATCTCAACAAATTTTTCGTGTAATCTTCAAAATGGCAGATGAAATTTAATGTAGACAAATGTCACGTACTAAGTCTTGGAGACGTAAACAATGAAACCAGTTTCACATGAACAGCGTTCATATAGAGAAATCCGACTGTGAGAAAGAATTAGGAGTAATGATAAGAAGGAATCTTAAACCAAGACAACAATGTGTATTTGCTCGAAACAAGGCTAACAAAGTACTTGGGTTCATACAAAGGAGTGTTAGTTACAAGACTAGCGAGGTCATCGTAAAACTATATCTTGCCCTTGTGAGACCTCACTTGGATTACGCTGTTCAAATCTGGTCACCGTACTACAGAATGGATATAGAATCTCTAGAAAGCATTCAGAGGAGAATGACGAGACTAATCCCGGACATTAGGAACCTTGAGTACAGAGACAGGTTAACGCATCTTAATTTGCACTCCCTCAAAAGACGTAGAGTGCGGAGCGATATGATAGAGGTGTATAAATGGAAGTCAGGGTTTAACAAACGTGATATAACAAAGTTACTCAAATTATCCAACCAAGAACGACATTTAGGCACGAGATAGGTAAATACTGCTTCGGAAACAGAGTAGTGGATGAATGGTACAAGTTACCAAACATCATCATTAACTCAAACACGCTGGATAACTTCAAACATAGGTTGGATGGATATATGAGCGATAGGGGTTGGGTGTAAACGGGACCGCCCAGTATGGGCCAATAGGCCCGCTGCAGTTTCCTCCATTTTCACGTTCTTATGTTCTGAAAGCGGAAGTTACAAGAGATACCGTGTTGTGGTTGTCCTGGGTGTTGACGAGTCCATTAGGCGATACAGATTTACCGGCCGTGATGACAGCTAGTATCAGAGACACTTCTGACAGTGACTCACGCCACAACAAACACCTCAAGCCACACCCTCCGTCAGGGCCACGCGTGATGTTACACTCGCTGGCCTGCATGTGTTAATGGTGTGTTTATATCCAGGACGATAAACAAAGACCACCTCTGTCAATTACTGTGGCATCGATAATTAACAAAACGGAGCCTCAGCCCAGCGTCCACCGCCAATAGTTGTCAGCTCTTGGTCAGTCTGCTGCTGACGGTGGTGTCTGACGGAGTGTTACAGTGAAGAGATCAGGTGAGACTTGTAGCTGTTGCTCTCAGCTGTAGAGTGAGGTTAATATTGACCTTTGTTGCTGTAGTTGTCCCATATAAGTTATTAATTATAAACACAGTTGTTATTGTGCCAGTTGACACCTGTTGGTGTGGTTAGCTGGAGTAGGGGGGGAGGAGAAGGGGTTTATGTAGCCAAGAGAAACAGGCAGACAGAGAGACCATGTAGCGATATGAAGTTGTTTTCTCGGCAGGATCACTCAACACCTGCATGATGAAGGTAGCGATGATGTTGACGCCGCCCTCCCTGCTGCTCGTGCTGACGTTGGCAGATGTGCCAGCCGAAAGCTGGTCTCCTGGCTATGGTAACGTGTTTGCCGTCTTCGCTCACTGACCTGTTTTCTTTATATAACACGAGAGGAATAAATGGCCATAACCCAGTCAGCTCTGTGACGGTGAGAACATTTGCCTGTCTGTCTACATTATTCTTTGGCCTTAAGAGAATCTATGTAACCAAACATCTCTTAAACTTCTCAGTATAAAGGAAATAACGGATAAGTCAACAAATGTTACTGTGTTGGTACACGATAAGGTCAACAGATAACAGTTCACTAACAAGTACCTATTTCAGTGACGCCCGGGTGTCCCAGATCGTGTGCCCAATACTATCACCCTGTGTGTGGCACTGACGGAAGGACCTACTCCAACAGAGGCTGTCTGGAAGCCGCTACCTGCTACTCTCCCTACCTCACCATGGCTTACCCCGGCCCTTGTAGTAAGTGTCAGACATGACTTTTATCATCTTCACAACTGATCGATTAGTTAGCCACTTGGGAGGTCGTCCACGTCTTTCTTGCGCACTGTTGGCAAGTCCTGGGCATGCATTGCCACACCTTTTCAGTGTGAGGCAATACCGCCGCTCCCTGTGTTAGTGTGAGTCTGCTGTACATTGTTAATAACTGGTACATAGTCCACACCATATTCCCGCTCACGCTTAGAGCTATGGCAAACTGTATACGAGACAGTACAGCTCCGAGTGTTGTAGTGACGGCAGCACTACCGTGTGTGTGTGTGTGTAGACATGAACAAGTATATGAAGACATTTCTTACATGATTTTTTACTGCACGTTGCTCTCACTCACTCCACTTATCGTACAAGACTCTGTGGCTATCTTCCTCTCTATCTTCTCTTCCTCTTGTTCTAACCCACCAAGAAGTAAGATAAGAATAATGATAGATAAGAACATAGAGTAGATAGGTGGAAAATTTATAATGATAGGAACGGAAGAGTTATGTGAGGCGTGTGTGGATCCACCAACCAGTCTGTGCTCACGTGTTGTCTGTTGTTGTCAGGTCCTGTGATCAGTTGGTAGATGTCAGCTGGTATCTAAAGTCAGTCACCTGCAATTGATGCCTTCAATCAACAACTGTCAGTCAAGAAAGTCAATGCCAGCAACTGTCAGTCGGTGTCAGCATCAGATAACCTGTATAGATTGGTGTCAGGGTTCACCGTGTGACAAATAAATTGTAAATTATTACTATGGTTTTGTTCTATACCAACTTTAAAGCGGCGGAAAGTTTGAGGCAAACTTACTGCCGACAGCCAACTCCTTCAGCATCATTATATAGCAAACAAAGTCTATTTTCTTCAAGTTTCCTCATCTTATTTTATTTTCTCTCAAGTCTTCTCTGTGGCTAAAAAAGATAGAAAATACTTTGGCTGTCTATCGTGTCTGATGACGACTTCTCCTGCTTTAAAAGATGCGTTCTGCAATGGCTGAAGAGAGTAATTAGCGACGCACATCACTTGTCACCATCTGGACGTTGGAGGGTCAGGTTGTAGGAGGCGCAGCCATGAGCGATTGTCTCCTCTCACGCCTTCTTGTTGCTGGTGAGGCCGCTCAGCCTCAAAGAATTGAAGTCCTTGGTGGCAGCATGAGCGATGGTAATTAAACAGAGGCAGCTTGAGGAGTTTTGTTCAAGTGTTTGTGCCTGGTTGGTCACACCTAAGAGGAACCTCCCATATTTTGTCCGTTTTGGTATCGCCAGCCTCTTGTAAATATTGTCCGGTTTTAGCTCTTATGGGAAACAGAATAACACAGTTAAAGTGAAGTTGTTAATGTCTCGTCACTAGATGGAACCAAAACATATGTTTGGCTTTTCTAATATATAATAAATAGTTTAAAAAATATATAAAATATAATCATTATATTCTCAGAATAACTCGGACGTCAAAAACAAAAGTTTACGTTCATCACAAATTTAATCTGTTATAGTAACTAACTGTGCGGACATTTTGAGGTGGCACATAAATGATGACCTAGATGGGTCAAAGGTTATCACCGTGGCCATTTTATTTAATCGTCATATCCCAGAAACTTCTGGATAAAAATTCTTCACATCTCATCAGAAGACTTTGTAGAACCCACCATCAACTTATAAAATATAAACAAAAGCGAAGAGGTAAATGGCGTCACAAGCATGGGATTTCTCACTGCAGCGGCAGCATCGCGGCTTGGGGCAGGCAGGGGTCCTCATCCATTGAACGTGACAAGTTTTTAAATGGTTAGTAAAATAATCTCTGTAGCCTCGCCGTGTTGTATTACCCGTTCAAGTAACTTTATTATACAGTGTAAAGTTGAAGTTACAAGAGATACCGTGTTGTGGTTGTCCTGGGTGTTGACGAGTCCATTAGGCGATACAGATTTACCGGCCGTGATGACAGCTAGTATCAGAGACACTTCTGGCCGTGACTCACGCCACAACAAACACCTCAAGCCACACCCTCCGTCAGGGCCACGCGTGATGTTACACTCGCTGGCCTGCATGTGTTAATGGTGTGTTTATATCCAGGACGATAAACAAAGACCACCTCTGTCAATTACTGTGGCATCGATAATTAACAAAACGGAGCCTCAGCCCAGCGTCCACCGCCAATAGTTGTCAGCTCTTGGTCAGTCTGCTGCTGACGGTGGTGTCTGACGGAGTGTTACAGTGAAGAGATCAGGTGAGACTTGTAGCTGTTGCTCTCAGCTGTAGAGTGAGGTTAATATTGACCTTTGTTGCTGTAGTTGTCCCATATAAGTTATTAATTATAAACACAGTTGTTATTGTGCCAGTTGACACCTGTTGGTGTGGTTAGCTGGAGTAGGGGGGGAGGAGAAGGGGTTTATGTAGCCAAGAGAAACAGGCAGACAGAGAGACCATGTAGCGATATGAAGTTGTTTTCTCGGCAGGATCACTCAACACCTGCATGATGAAGGTAGCGATGATGTTGACGCCGCCCTCCCTGCTGCTCGTGCTGACGTTGGCAGATGTGCCAGCCGAAAGCTGGTCTCCTGGCTATGGTAACGTGTTTGCCGTCTTCGCTCACTGACCTGTTTTCTTTATATAACACGAGAGGAATAAATGGCCATAACCCAGTCAGCTCTGTGACGGTGAGAACATTTGCCTGTCTGTCTACATTATTCTTTGGCCTTAAGAGAATCTATGTAACCAAACATCTCTTAAACTTCTCAGTATAAAGGAAATAACGGATAAGTCAACAAATGTTACTGTGTTGGTACACGATAAGGTCAACAGATAACAGTTCACTAACAAGTACCTATTTCAGTGACGCCCGGGTGTCCCAGATCGTGTGCCCAATACTATCACCCTGTGTGTGGCACTGACGGAAGGACCTACTCCAACAGAGGCTGTCTGGAAGCCGCTACCTGCGACTATCCCTACCTCACCATGGCTTACCACGGCCGCTGTAGTAAGTGTCAGGCATTACCGTAGCTCCCTATTTTATTGTAAGGTATTGTCATATCATGTGCTAATGTGACACTTTTAAGATGACCACAACATAACTGTCCAAAATAATTTATGTTTCAGTTAAATCACATCCCTGCTACAAGTCGTGCACCAAACAGTACGACCCCGTGTGTGGTACTGATGGTACGACCTACTCCAACCCCTGTATACTGTCTCGCACCACCTGCCGCCACCCATACATTAGGCTTCAGCACATCGGACCTTGTAGTGAGTGTGAGGCACGACTGTAGTGTGAGGCAGTACTGTAGTGTGAGGCAGTACTGTAGTGTGAGGCAGTACTGTAGTGTGAGGCAGTACTGTAGTGTGAGGCAGCACTGTAGTGTGAGGCAGTACTGTAGTGTGAGGCAGTACTGTAGTGTGAGGCAATACTGTAGTGTGAGGCAGTACTGTAGTGTGAGGCAGCACTGTAGTGTGAGGCAGTACTGTAGTGTGAGGCAGTACTGTAGTGTGAGGCAATACTGTAGTGTGAGGCAGTACTGTAGTGTGAGGCAGCACTGTAGTGTGAGCAGTACTGTAGTGTGAGGCAGCACTGTAGTGTGAGCAATACTGTAGTGAGGGCAGTGCTGTAGTGTGAGCAATACTGTAGTGTGAGGCAGTACTGTAGTGTGAGGCAGCACTGTAGTGTGAGGCAATACTGTAGTGTGAGGCAGTACTGTAGTGTGAGGCAGCACTGTAGTGTGAGGCAGTACTGTGGTGTGAGGCAGTACTGTGGTGTGAGGCAATACTGTAGTGTGAGGTGCAGTGTGAGGCAGTACTGTAGTGTGAGGCAGCACTGTAGTGTGAGGCAGTACTGTAGTGTGAGGCAATACTGTAGTGTGGGCAGTACTGTAGTGTGAGGCAGTACTGTAGTGTGAGGCAGTACTGTAGTGTGAGGCAGTACTGTAGTGTGAGAACACTGTAGTGTGAGGCAGTACTGTAGTGTGGGCAGTACTGTAGTGTGAGGCAATACTGTGGTGTGAGGCAGTGCTGCAGTGTGTGAGGCAGTGCACTGTAGTGTGAGGCAATACTGTAGTGTGAGGCAGCACTGGTGTGAGGCAGTACTGTAGTGTGAGCAGTGTACTGTAGTGTGAGGCAGTACTGTAGTGTGAGGCAGTACTGTAGTGTGAAAGCAATACTGTAGTGTGAGGCAGTACTGTAGTGTGAGGCAATACTGTAGTGTGAGGCAATACTGTAGTGTGAGGCAGCACTGTAGTGTGAGCAGTACTGTAGTGTGAGGGCAGCACTGTAGTGTGAGGCAGTACTGTAGTGTGAGGCAGTACTGTAGTGTGAGCAATACTGTAGTGTGAGGCAGCACTGTAGTGTGAGGCAGTACTGTAGTGTGAGGCAGTACTGTAGTGTGAGGCAGTACTGTAGTGTGAGCATGCTGTGAGGCAGTGCTGTAGTGTGAGGCAGTACTGTAGTGTGACAGTCTGTAGTGTGGGGCAGCACTGTAGTGTGAGGCTGAGTGTGAGGCAGTACTGTGGTGTGAGGCAGTGCTGGTGTGACAGCACTGTAGTGAGGCAGTACTGTAGTGTGAGGCAGTACTGTAGTGTGAGAGCAGTACTGTAGTGTGAGCAGTACTGTAGTGAGGCAGTACTGTAGTGTGAGGCAGTACTGTAGTGTGAGGCAGTACTGTAGTGTGAGCAGCACTGTAGTGTGAGGCAATACTGTAGTGTGAGGCAGTACTGTAGTGTGAGGCAGTACTGTGTGTGAGCAGCACTGTAGTGTGAGCAGTACTGTAGTGTGAGCGACTGTAGTGTGAGGCAGTACTGTAGTGTGAGGCAGTACTGAGTGTGAGGCAGTACTGTAGTGTGAGCAGTACTGTAGTGTGAGGCAGCACTGTAGTGTGAGGCAATACTGTAGTGTGAGGCAGTACTGTAGTGTGAGGCAGTACTGTAGTGTGAGGCAGTACTGTAGTGTGAGGCAGTACTGTAGTGTGAGGCAGTACTGTAGTGTGAGGCAATACTGTAGTGTGAGGCAGTACTGTGGTGTGAGGCAGTACTGTAGTGTGAGGCAGTACTGTAGTGTGAGGCAGTACTGTAGTGTGAGGCAGTACTGTAGTGTGAGGCAGTACTGTAGGGATAATAGTATATACCTTCATTGTTTCAGGTACAGCCGGCCATTGTGACGATGTGCAGTGTTCCTTGAAGTATGACCCAGTATGTGGTAGTGACGAGGTAACATACTCGAACCACTGTCACTTATCCGTTGCCAAGTGTGTTGACTCAAGTCTTACCCTCAAGCACCTCGGTCCTTGTGGTAAGTGTGTGGCAGTTATAAGTGTGAGGAATAGTGTTAGTATGAGGCAATAGTATTAGTATGAGGCAATAGTGTTAGTATGAGGCAATAGTAGTATGAGGCAATAGTATTTGTATGAGTGTGGTATTAGTATGAGGCAATAGTGTTAGTATGAGGCAATAGTGTTAGTATGAGGCAATAGTGTTAGTATGAGGTAATAGTATAAGTATGAGACAATAGTGTTAGTGTTAGTATGGATCTACAGACGTGAACATGACAGACACACACTCATCACATTTCAGAGAGGACCCTGATCTGTGTGTGTAGTGATGATGTGAATCCCGTGTGTGGCTCCGACGAGAAGTCCTATAAGAATAAAAGGTCTGGGTGTGGCTGCATGTAAGGACCACACCATTACCATAGCCCACAGTGGATTATGTAGTGAGTACCAGACCACACCCTTAACGTCAGACAGACACACACCTAATAACACCCTGTAACAAGTACCACACCCTGTAACAAGTACCACACCCTGTAACAAGTACCACACCCTGTAACAAGTACCACACCCTGTAGTAATTACAATGTAACAAGTACCACATCCTGTAACAAGTACCACACCCTGTAACAAGTACCACACCGTAACATGTACCACACCCTGTAACAAGTACCACATCCTGTAACAAGTACCACACCCCAAGTACCACACCCTGTAACAAGTACCACATCCTGTAACAGTACCACACCCTGTAACAAGTACCACACCCTGTAACAAGTACACCTGTAACACACCACATCCTGTAACAAGCACCCCAGCATACCACACCTGTACATACACATCCTAACAAGTACCACATCCCAAAAAATAAGTACCACACCCCTGCACAAGTACCACACCCTGTAACATACCACACCCTGTAACAAGTACCACACCCTGTAACATGTACCACACCCTGTAACAAGTACTCACATCCCAACACACACCCTGTAACAAGTACCACACCCTGTAACAAGTACCACATCCTGTAACAAGTACCACACCCTGTACAGTACCACACCCTGTAACAAGTACCACACCCTGTAAAAGTACCACATCCTCAAGTACACCATAACAACACCCTGTAAAGTACCACACCCTGTAACAAGTACCACACCTGTAACATGTACCACACCCTGTAACAAGTACCACACCCTGTAACAGTACCACACCCTGTAACAAGTAACCACACCCTGTAACAAGTACCACATCCTGTAACAAGCATCACACCCCTGTAACAAGTACCACACCCTGTAACAAAGTAAATACCACCCTGTAACAAGTACCACACCCTGTAACAAGTACCACACCCTAACAAGTACCACATCCTGTAACAAGTACCACACCCTGTAACAAGTACCACACCCTGTAACAAGTACCACACCCTAACAAGTACCACACCAAATACACCACACCCTGTAACAAGTACCACACCCCAAAATACACAAACACTGTAACAGACACCATACCCTGTAACAACAACTAACAATAACCTGTAACAAGTACACACCTAAATACCAACACACCCCGTAACAATAACATCTGTAAAGTACACACCTGTCAAAGACCCATCCTGTAACAAGTACCACATCAATACACCTGTAACAAGTACCACACCTGTAAACAAGTACCACACCTGTAACAAGTACCACATCCTGTAACAAGTACCACATCCTGTAACAAGTACCACACCCTGTAACAAGTACCACATCCTGTAACAAGTACCACATCCTGTAACAAGTACCACATCCTGTAACAAGTACCACATCCCATAACAAGTACCACACCATGTAACAAGTACCACATCCTGTAACAAGTACCACACCCTGTAACAAGTACCACACCCTGTAACAAGTACCACACCCTGTAACAAGCACCACATCCTGTAACAAATACCACATCCTGTAACAAGTACCACATCCTGTAACAAGTACCACATCCTGTAACAAATACCACATCCTGTAACAAGTACCACACCATAAACACACACACACACACACACACACACACACACACAACTGTCACAATAGATGCTCATGTACTGTATATATTACCCAATAATGTGTCTCAATAATGCAATATGAGTCGATAGTCAATGGAAATGATAACATGAACTAAAAACAAAAGCAAAAATTCATAATAAAAGAATAGAAATGTTACGTAAATTTTAGGATCATTTCTCAACTCGCTCTGTGTTTATGTGAATCTTAGACTGGCTATCCCTCACGACAGAGTATAAAGGAAAATGCCCCGAGATTTGCCCCACAACAAAGACTCCGGTCTGTGGCAGCGACGGGAAGACCTACGATAACTTCTGCTACCTGAGGCGAGTCTCTTGTATGAACGCTTCGGTCTTCCTGATCCACCGCGGCAAGTGTGAGGACGGTTAAGTGGTTATGAAGATCGACAGTAGTACCTGAGATTTGTCAGGGGAAGGACGCAACATAGCTCCCCCTTGTTACGCTAACCTGTTGTGTAAGGAGGATATTAGTTTTCTAACCTAGCCAAATTCCAGGGCTTCCGTCAACCTAATCTAATTTAACCATCTTGGTTGTCTTTTCTCTATTGTAAGCTGGTGTCAGAAGTCAACCCGTTAGCAGGTAGCATCTTCAAATCAACAACACCTGTCAGTCAAGGAAAGTCAATGCCAGCAGCTGTCAGTCGGTGTCAGCATCAAGGCGCCTAAAGATTCCCCTGACATTATGACATATAAATGATTAAGAATTAATAGCGTTTTATTCTATTCCATCTTAAAGACAACAGAGAGTAACATTACCAAGGCTTTCAGGATCACTTTGTTAATCCACCTTTTAATCCACTACAACATCTGTAATCCACCACCCCACCTGTTAATCCACCACCCCACCTGTTAATCCACCACCCCACCTGTTAATCCACCACCACACCTGTAATCTACCCTTGCACCTCTCTTCTCTCAACACCATCTCAACTTAATCCTCGTTTAAGAAAAATTACAAAAGCAAAATCCAAAATTAATTATTTTTTTTTCATTTTTATTTTTGTTATTAAAATGTCAGAGGAAAACTCTTCTTACTCCTTCCAACAATTACTAGAAAAATGGAAGGAGATGTTTGAGCAGGAGACCTCGAACGATCTGAAGGCGGCCATCCCTGTCCCCCCACTAGGAGCCGCCTACCCTAACTCTCGGTGGGTCCAGTACGAGAACAGACCGGTCAACCCAAAGTTCAGAGTCGAGTACAAACAGACCCAGCAACAGCAGGGCGGGGATGGCGGTGGTTTTGGGGTTCTCCAGCGGCAGGAGATCATCATCATCCCACTCATGCCACATAGCCTAGATCAAGGCCTCCAAGGCGACTCCCCCGAAGCTCATCCCCTCAAAGATTTCCCCTCCGAGCATTACTCCCCCGAAGCTCATCCCCTCAAAGATTTCCCCTTCGAGCATTACTGCCCCGAAGCTCAGTACTCCCCCGTAGCTCATCCCTTCAAGTATTTCCCCCGCGAGTATTCCTCCTCCGAAACTTACTCTTTCGATGGTCTATTCCTTGATACCTCTACTGAGTGGTCGAGCGAGAAGATCGATGTGGACCCTAAGCTCCGGTGGACTTCGAGCTCTCAGTCTGAGCCCTGTGTGATCACTGGGGACGTGAGACCCATTACGATAGTTTATAATCTAGTCATGAAACACATCGTCGTCACCATATCTGTGGAAATGACTACTGATGATCCCACGACATGATTGCAGTGTTTTTCTTTTATCATTTTTAACATTTATCCTCTTACTCCAGGTTAAATTAGTATAAAGTTAGGTTAATGTGACAAGTCTAGTCCCGATGTATACCCGTGTTATACCTCCTATCTGGTATTAAGAAAATGTATCTGGTTTCCGATTTTCAACACATGATATCTCCGTTATGGGTAAAATGCGTCAAAAGTATCATAGGAGAAAATGTTCCTGTTTTTGTCTGGAATTATCATTACACATCAAATGAAACCCGACACCGAATTACGTCCTGTATTATAAATTAACTAAATGTGAATCGTACATCTCAGTCACCAACCTGTCGTGGCAGATAATGGCCGCCATAGGTGTTGTTGTTCTGTTTCTCTTCCTCACCATCCTCCTGTGCTCCTCCTCCTGTGTTCGTCCTCTTCCCCCTGTGCTTCTACTAATCCTTGTCCTCCTCTGCTATTTCTCTTCATCCCGTGTTCCTCTTCACGCTCCTCCTGTCGTGATCGTAACAATTTATCAGAGCGTATTGGACAATTCCGCCATTCCAAAGATCTACATTTCGACAATATGACTCAGGTATAACAATTAACAACATTATTAAGAAACTGCTAAATATTCTTATCTATACAATATCTTTTCCTGGATCTTGCAATTACTTTAAAATAACATAAAAGTACCCAACATTTTTTAAAACAAGAAATAATACTACTACTTTAGGTTAAGATATGACAGTCGTAAGCAAAAGAGGTCAAGTGATTCCCTCTTAACCAACATTCAACATTCCCACTTAAGTCGAGTCTTGGCAGGAGGAACACCTTTTTAATTTTTATCGTTTTAACATTTCTGGATACTTTTAGGTCAGATAATTTCTTTGTGGTTCCTTTTGAAAGTTTGTGAGGAGTTTTCCCATGAGTTTGTTTACAGTCGAGCCTCGGATATCATCAGCACATACCCAGAGCTCTCTAGTTAGGTTCACTTTTGTTTTTTTTACTTCTATTTACTTAACTGTATCGAATTTTTTCTTTGCTATTGAATTATAATAAACTTGCATATCTGTTATGTATTTTATCCATTTTTGCTGTAAGTATAGTTCAGTATATTTTCGTAGAGACAACTGTATGATTTTTATGTTTAATGAAAGTATTTATGATTTTAGTTTGTTTATTTTCTTTATTAACATAAAGAGTAAACATTAAAATCTCTAACACTCAAACAGACGCCTTTATAGACTACACCATTAGCCCATTAAAAAAAGAAGCTTCACTGGAGTAAGTAAATATCTCTTTTAATAACAATATTAACCAAAATATAATAGAAGTTACGCTAATAAAAAGTGAAAAGAAAAATATAAAAGTACTTACAATGTATAGTACTGATCACGGAGCAACAGTAACACACCTTCACTTCGAGACGTCACTCAAGCTACTACTAGTACCTATGGGAAAAATGGCCAACGTTATAAAATTACCACGAACAGGGTTGTTGAATTATCATATTTTTCTTTACAAACAAATAACCTGAGCTTATTTTAAATTAATCCAATGTAATGAACCGAGGGTATCTTTAATTAGGTTAGGATATAGTTGGTAAATTCATGTCACTTAAATTAAAATAAAGGGTCGCGGAAAGGGGACGTGATTGCTGCCCGTATCATCATTGGGTATGACTTTGCTTGGGAGATTGGTATCCCCGCATCCCCTGAGCAACGCTCTTGTGCATTATGCAGAAGACCCGACAGCCGCGCCCTTATCCACTACCTCCTAAGATGTCCCCACACACAACGCTTCCGTGACGCCTGCTGGACCACCACTCCACGACCCCCTGACGGAGACACGATGATCCCCCTCATACTGGCCAGATATTTTGAAAATAATATTGATTATGTGTTAAAGGAATATCCTTCCTTCCTTAGGCTTTAGTAAGCCCCTTTATAATATTTATACTGTATATACTTGTCACACTTGCCAGATGCTTCTGGTGTCATTGTACAGGGGCACCTAGTGACAGCACTAGGATCCCGCTTCCTCTATCATGGAATAAACAATTGAAATTGAAAATTGAATAAAGTGTGGATACAGGCAGGTAGTAGGCAGCTACCAAACAGGGAGGTACTACCGCCTGGGAAGATATTGGAAGCATAATGTGTTGTCTAATGGTAGACCCTGCTGCCATATGGCATCACGAAAATTGTGACCAAGTCCCAGGTTGCTGATCCGACTTTCTGCCTCATTTACACCCAATTGCAGGGTCTCAATTGTTTCTCTTACTATTGACAAGACAACATACATATATTGTTTCTTACTTTTTCATTTTTTTATTATTATTATTATTATTATTATTATTATTATTATTATTATTATTATTATTATTATTATTATTATTATTATTATTATTATTATTATTATTATTACAGTGTTGTTATTATCATTATTATCATTATTATTTTATTTTCAATTTTGTAATTTTTATTATAAATTGTATTTACTATGAATTATTATTATTATTATTATTATTATTATTATTAGTATTACATTTTCGCCCCTCAGACCCCGATGTGCGTCAGTGACCTGTGCCCGGGTGATTTAATTCCGTAAAAAAAAAAAAAGCCTTAGTATATCAGCTATCATGTCATCAGAGATAAAGTGCTGTGCCTTGTATACACAGTGTGCTTGGATCTATCCCTATAAGGTTATATTTTTTCACAGTCTAAGACGTAGTGTTGGAGTGTGTGGCCATGTTTCTGGCCACACACTTTATATTTAGTTTTGTTCGCCTCTGCCTGAGGGCATACTGCCAGGGGTACTTATATCCTAACCTTAGTCAAGCGGTTACAACATCTTGTAATCTAGTGATCTTGTTACTTGCTCCATACACATGTTTCACTTGATACATCTCATCATGGTAAACAATGGCTTGACTAGTGCCTGTTTACACTTGTCTACTGGCTTCAAATTCATCAGTAAGTTCTTTTCTGATAACAGTTTTTAAGGTTAAGTTTGACAGTTCTTGATTGTACCCAACATTGTCATTGTTGGACGCGAGTTTAGCTAAGGCATCAACTCTATCATGTTCACTAATGCCTATGTGAGAGGGGATCCACAGCAGCTTGGTCCTGATATCCCCGTCAATAAGACACATGTGCTTGTGTCTGGCTTACCAACACCTGATACACTGTCACACACTATGGGGGGCCTCTGGCTCTTCAAAAACACAATCCCTGGTTACTGCACAAAAGAGAGTTGTACAGACAATGACCTACTTGAAAAAAAACCAGATCACACAAACGAAAATTTGCTAAATTGAAAATTTTAAAATTCGAAGATATTAACACCTACTGCTGTGCCCTCTCTGTTTACAAATCTATCAATCACTTGCTTGACAATAATTATTTCCAGTTCCGGAATAATCCGAGATACAACTTAAGGCACCCAGAGCTACTAAGACCACCCCCCCATGCGCTCCTCTCAGTCCCAGACCTCCATAAAATATCACGGTGTGAAGGTGTGGAACAACTTACCCCCACCCATCCCAGCAAAGACTACGCTCCCTTCCTTTAAATCATCTCTTAAGAAATATATATTGTCTAAGTATTAATATTTCTTGTAACACCTACTATATTTACAGTACCTGTTTTTATTGTACCATCAAAACCGTTTTATCGGAAATTATCATGTAAATAGAAAAGAAATTACCATTGCAATAAATATATTTACCAACTAGACATAATCCTGACAGCTCTGTCCTCTTGTTCAACCTTATTACTGTACAACCCAGGTTGTACTGCTCCCCCATTATACTTATGTTTTTCAATTCCACTGTAATTTATGTATATACTTTTAATAAAAAAATGTAAATAAATAAATAAATAAATAAAATAAATAAATATTGAAGTGATAACCGTGGTAACATTATAAGATGTTCTTATTACCACCATGCTATTGTACTATTCCAGATGATACTAAATGTTACATAATACTTCCTTGAGATAAATGTATAGTATATATCAGGTGCCTACAAGAGAGCTCAGGTTCTCAACTGGCTCAGCCATGTTAATATTGTTATTATTATCCACTCTGTATCTGTGTTTTTCTGGCTAAATAAACTGTTTCAATTCAAATCAATTCAAAGAGCAAGTAATGAGGATAAAGAGTCAGTGATGACGTGACTGTCAGTGGCAGTGTCTTCAACAAGTTTCAGGACTGTGAGTATAGCAAATAGTTCAGTTTATAGAGTGGACGTCCAGTTACTAATTCTAGCACCTTTCTCCATTATATTACCGTTAGACTAAATCACAATGACAGCACTTCCAGCCCTCCCACAGACAGTGTTAAGAGAGCCGTCAGTCAGGGGTGGCCAACCTTTTGTGTGATGTGATCTACTTTTTCCACAGTTACCCTGACGCGATCTACCAGCCTAATATTCACCCATTGCCATAAAATATGCAGATTCGGAGAGAGAGAGAGAGAGAGAGAGAGAGAGAGTGCACAAATAATATTTTTCAATAGTTGTTATGATATATTGTTAACACGTACTTTACTAATGAGATGGTTAGCACTGCATGTTGTCTGCCAGCTTTGTGTAATTAGGACTGTAGGCGGTGACTGCTAGCCTCAAGCAAGCATCCAGGTGTTCATCTGACATTGTTGATCGGTATTTGGATTTGATGTGTTCCATGTGTGAAAATGTTGATTCACAAAGGAAGGTTGATCCAAAAAATGCAGTGAGGTACATGGCACATTTTCTGACGTTGGGATATTTTTCTTCACTGAGAAGGTTCCAGAAACTTCCTCCTGTTGCCCTGGATTTGATCTGGATATCATTTTTGAGCTTCAGAAGCTCATTTTCGACTTCAGATATGTCCATGTTAAATACTGATGCCATTCTAGATGCAATATCTTCAACATTTGTGATTTTACCAAATGGAAAACACATATATGTTGCAACAGGTTCTATTGTTGCTATATATTGAAACCGTCTGTCAAAATATGAGGCAAGGTTTTGTACGTGTTCAATATATCGAGCACTGCCAAACTGGTCACAGTCTTTTCCTTGGTTTTCTAGTTCAGACATCATATTTCTGAAGTTTCGTAGTTGATATTGATGCAGCTGCGAAGACACTAGTTTTAGTTTCTGTTTGAAAGCAGCCACAGGACTAATCATGTCAACTATAGTTTTATCTTTCCCTTGCAGATCTAAGTTTAGTTTTTTCAGCATAGCAGTCATGTCAACAAAAAAGCTAACTCTAACAGCCACACTTCGTTGTGATCAAAAGGCCAATCTTTTGAGGCCAAAAAAGAAGTTAGGAAACCTATCATCACTCCTGCACAGGGCAATGAATCCACTGATTCGGCCAGCCATTGTAGGTGCCCCATCAGTATTTTTAGATACAAGCTTACTTACTGGCTTAAGAAGGATGGATCATTAAGTTTAACTTTGCCATGCGATCGACTAGGGAAGATCTTGTGATCGACCAATCGATCGCGATCGGCAGGTTGCCCAACTGTAGATGGTCTGTGTGATGTTAGTCTCAGTTTACAGGTTATGTACTTCTTACTTTGGCAATGTGTTGGAGATAATGAGTCTGTGTGATCAGTAGGTCAGGTGGATAATTATAGTATCGCCATGGCAACTCAGCACCTAACTCCCTAAATCTAGTTGTAACCGCTCTAGTTGTCAGTGTTGCCAGGTCGAGCCCCGTGAGCTGGCAAGCCCTCAGAGGTGTTTAATTCTGTCCCACTATTGTGCACACGTTCACTGGTAATGTCCACATGTTCATAGATAATGTTCTCACGTTCACTGGTAATGTCCACATGTTCATAGGTAATGTTCTCACGTTCACTGGTAATGTCCACATGTTCATAGGTAATGTTCTCACGTTCACTAGTAATATCCACATGTTCATAGATAATGTTCTCACGTTCACTGGTAATATCCACATGTTCATAGATAATGTTCTCACGTTCACTGGTAATATCCACATGTTCATAGATAATGTTCTCACGTTCACTGGTAATATCCACATGTTCATAGATAATGTTCTCACGTTCACTGGTAATATCCACATGTTCATAGATAATGTTCTCACGTTCACTGGTAATATCCACATGTTCATAGATAATGTTCTCACGTTCACTGGTAATATCCACATGTTCATAGATAATGTTCTCACGTTCACTGGTAATATCCACATGTTCATAGATAATGTTCTCACGTTCACTGGTAATATCCACATGTTCATAGGTAATGTTCTCACGTTCACTGGTAATATCCACATGTTCATAGATAATGTTCTCACGTTCACTGGTAATATCCACATGTTCATAGGTAATGTTCTCACGTTCACTGGTAATATCCACATGTTCATAGGTAATGTCTTCACTAAATTTACCTAACCTAACCTCTAAACTTCCTCCTCCTCCTCCTCTTCCTCCTCCTCCTCCTCCTCCTCCTCCTCCTCCTCCTCATCATCATCATCATCATCCAGGGAGCGTCGTAGCAAAACAAACTACTACCTTACGTGGCATCCTTGATAACAGCGAGGATGATATTATCCCTCCCCCTCCCCCTTCCCTCTTACCTACTGCCGCCAATGCTGGGGGGCGGTGGGCTATAAAGTGACTGTGTAGTGGCATCCTTGTCTGATTCACCGAGGCACTACCACCGTCAGCAGTGCCTCTCCCGTCCCAGCCTTCTGTCCCAAAATTCTCGTAACAGAAGGACAATGTTCATTAATAGCTTAACACCGAGTATTAGGCAGGTAAGCTCTACTGCATCATAATGACTACAAGAAAGTGTAATTGTGTGGGAAAATGTGTAATAATAATATAACAACAACAACAACAACAACAACAACAACAACAACAACAACAACAACAACAACAACAATAATAATAATAATAATAATAATAATAATAATAATAATAATAATAATAATAATAATAATAATAATAATAATAATAATAATAATAATAGACTACTACTACTACTACAGGGTCGATTGAAAAGTATAGCTAATAGAGGAAGAAACACGGTCGCTAGTAGTGATGAGTGAGGAAGAAACACGGTCGCTAGTAGTGATGAGTGAGGAAGAAACACGGTCGCTAGTAGTGATGAGTGAGGAAGAAACACGGTCGCTAGTAGTGATGAGTGAGGGGGAAACACAGTCGCTAGTGGTGATGAGGAAGAAACACGGTCGCTAGTAGTGATGAGGAAGAAACACGGTCGCTAGTAGTGATGAGTGAGGGGGAAACACGGTCGCTAGTAGTGATGAGTGAGGGGGAAACACGGTCGCTAGTAGTGATGAGGAAAACACGGTCGCTAGTAGTGATGAGGAAGAAACACGGTCGCTAGTAGTGATGAGGAAGAAACACGGTCGCTAGTAGTGATGAGGAAGGGGGAGACACAGGTTCTCTTGATCACTCATAAGACAGACATATATTTCTGATTGTTTATTTCACCTGAAAGAAATAATCAAGTTGGAGATAATCAATCGAAATGGTTCTATAACAGGTGAACAAATAATCATAACACTTGGTTCTTGATTATATACCACCTTAAACTGTTATCAAATTATCTTGTTATACTGTGTTATGTTGTGAGTTATCATGATTAAGGACATTGTTATAGTGTCAAGCTGAAAAGAAAATCGGTGTTTATAATATACTAAGTGAGGTATTTTGTCATGTCTAAGTGAGGGTGTAGGTTAGGTTTCTATGGGCACTATCGTAGGACACCATAACAGGGCACCATAACAAAGCGTCATAATAGGGCACCATTACAGGGCACCATTAATTAGAGTGACACAAATTGTATAATGACTATACAGAAAAAAGACAACTAGTTAGTTAAGCCTCATTCCCAAGTATCTCATGTCCAACTAGGCCCCAATCCTAAAATTGGGGCCTATTTTGAAACCTGCAATATCTCAAAAGTCCTACTGGGCCCCAATCCTAAAACTGGATCCTATTTTGAAACTTGTAACTCAATTTCAGTTTCTAAGCCAGCAGTAGACATCTAGTACACTACAGAAGGTCTTTTGTTACGGCAGATGGTGGCGGCTGTGTGTGCTGGGGTACTCACGACTGCTGCCTATACATCGTGGGGATTCTCTGCTGTTGCTCTGCCTCAAATGAATCTTCCTGAATCACCTGTAAACTTTACCCCTGAGATGGCCGGCTGGTTCGGTGCGTAACTTTACTTTTTACGTTACTTTAATTTCTACGTTACTTTTTACTTTATACTTTACTTTCTACGTTACTTATTACGTTACTTTACTTTTATACGTTACTTTTGACGTTACTTTCTACTTTACTTTATATTTTACTTTTTGCTTTACCCAATAATTTTGATGACAAAGTGGGAGGGTTAGGCTAAGTTAATGTCAGCATAGATTAAGTAACACTGAACTTTGCTAGGTAACACGGAACACTCTTGCATAACGAGCTGTAACTCATCCCTGCTATGCCGCATGATCTCTCCACAGCCACGATACCGATGTTACTCAGTATACCAGGAACAGCACTCGGCTCGGTACTGTGTGAGCGAATAGGACCAAGACGACTACAACTGGTGGTAGTTCCTCTCCTGGCGGCGTCGATGCTGGGGATGGTCGCGGGGTCCTGGCAAGTGTTACAAGACGCAGGGGTAGTTGAGGAGTTTCTTCTGGTGACTCGAGTGATACAGGTAGTTATATATTACTTTGTATATCTTTATAATAAGTTAGTATATAAAGTAAACCTCCATATCCCGGATTAATATTTTCGTATGATCCGTTAGATGGAGGGTTTCATAGTGAACCCTCGATATAACGGACATTCAGCTCTATATAGTTCGTTAGATGGAGGGTTCACACGTATCGTACTGTATAGATAGACCACCCTTAACCCCCTGAGTACTGTAAGTTATCCCCTTGAGTACGATGAGTTAACCCCTTGAGTACGATGAGTTAACCCCTTGAGTACGATGAATTAACCCTTAAGTACGATGAGTTAACCCCTTGAGTACGATGAATTAACCCTTGAGTACGATGAGTTAACCCCCTGAGTACAATGAGTTAACCCTTGACTACGATGAATTAACCCTTGAGTACGATGAGTTAACCCCCTGAGTACAATGAGTTAACCCTTGACTACGATGAATTAACCCTTGAGTACGATGAATTAACCGCTAGACCGTGTACCTGATACTGTCTTCGTTTCTTACCTAACCTAACCTAACCTAACCTAACCTAACCTAACCTAACCTACCCTAACCTAACCTAACCTTCTAGTTATTGATCGTAATGTAGGAACAAGTCTATAAGATTACAGTCAATGCCTTGTGTAATAAACTAACACGCAACACAAGAGTTCTTTAAATTCTTTCTCTTGCAGGGGACGTTGGCAGCTCTGTTCACGACACCAGCAATTGTTTACACGTACGAAGTATGTGATAGCCATCGTCGAGGAGCACTGACTAGCTGTGTGGATATGTGGGTAACGCTGGGATTCCTGTTATGTTATCTTCTAGGGTGTTATCTTCCCTGGCAGACAATGGCTTGGGTTCTGCCAGTCTCTACTTCCTTACCTGCCTACTGTGGACTCCTGCTGGTGCCGGAGTCTCCTCTGTGGTTAGCCAGGAGAGGGAGGAACAAAGAAGCACTGGAGAATATGATGTTGCTACGTAATTCTTCCGATGAAATATTAGAGGAACTACAAGTTGTAAGGAACTCGACATCAAAAGGCATGACAATTTGGAAATCACTTCAGGTGGCGAAAGATAAACCAAACTTATTAGCGATTCTTTTCTCGTCTCTGGTACTGATGTTGAAGGAGATGTGTGGGTTCATTGTCTTCTCCATCTATATTGTTTACATATTTCAACAAGCTGGGGTCGGGATAAGTCTTTGTTGGAGTTCAGTGTTTGTGGGGTTGACTCGTCTGGTGTGTAATTTGACTGCTTCACTCATATTACATAAAGCCCCTCGTAGGCTACTCTTGATGGCTGGCTGTAGTCTAATTTTTATCTCTGTGACAGCGATTGGGATATTTTTCTACCTGCAGTCGGGAGGTTACAACGTCTCGAGGTTGTCGTGGCTGCCAATGACGAGTTTATTGGTGTTCATGGTCGGTTACGCTGGCGGGGTCGGGCCGACCTCATGGATAGTGGCCATGGAGGTCTTGCCGGGTCCTGTCCGCTCCCTTGGCTATGGTATCTCCTCCATCGTCTACTACATCACTTCCTTCGCTATCTCTAAGTCATTCGAAAGTGTAAAGGAGCTGATTGGTCTGCATGGAGTATTCTGGTGTTATAGCATTGGCAGCGTACTATACTGTCTGGCCGTGGTGTTGTTCGTTCCGGAGACTCTAGGAATGTCACCTCGGGTGGTGGAGGAATTCTGGCACCGTCGAGCGCACAAGAAAAAATATCACTCATAAATTTACCTCATATTCACTCTTCTTAGTGTTAAAAACTCATCAATGTTTCACCACTCGCTGCTCATAATGCCTTGATATAATTCACCACCAATCTATTAAATAAGGACTGTTATCTTATCAGTGAGGACATAGGGCGACTGTTAACGTGATAGTGGTCACTGTAAACTAACCGGGCGATAGGAGCAGTGAAAATACAGTACAAAGCCTTCCGTACACAACGAGGTGGCGTGGCGCGAGTGTATGGGTGTGTGGGTGTGAGGGTGCGTGGGTGTGAAAGGTGTGAGGGTGAGTGGGTGTGAAAGGTGTGAGGGTGCGTGGGTGGGAGTTGTAGGTTACAATCTGGGTCAAGTGTAGACAACGATATGAGTGAGGTGAAAACAACAGTATTGGTGAATTGGCCATTTCGTTTCATTTCGTTTCATTTCATTTGTTTAGGTACAGTAGTGTGGCTGCAGGTACAGTCATTTACTAACTCGGGAACGACAGTACAAATATAAATATAAATACAACTGTAAGTACATATGCAAATACAAGCACGAGAGATATAAGTACAGGAACAAAATTATTTATTCAGAAGGAGCCATACAAATACAGGTATAGTTAATGTAACAGCGGACCTCTCCCGTTGGGCGAAATGAAAGTCGATGTACAGTACGCATTGCAAAACGGCTAACTTTATTCTCGTGTTAATGATGTATACTCCTACGAAAAGTACAAAGAAAAACACAAATAGTCCCCATATGTGTCCACACTGTTTCTTAGGTGCTGGGAGATGACTTAACAAGGCAACACGCGGCTGTAGAAGAGTGACGTAATACTGATATGTGTATTAAGACAGCGCCTCACTTAAAACCACAAGGTGTACTCATGTATGATCGCTTATAACCCAATATAGCATGGCGACATTCCCTCTCCCCCCGAGAAAGTGGGAATCGAATCAGAAGTTTCACTATTCAACACATGACCCCAGTTTATATTGGCTCTAGATGTAGTAATTCGACTACATGAGGAGCTGGCAGAGGTAGCGTAGCCAAATGTTGCGGCCTATTTTTTGCAACTAATCCCATGGTAAACTAACGTATAGCTCCTGTTTGCTACACAAGGCCCGTGGCGCACCGCTCCTCCCTCTCTGGTACCTTAACGCGACACGAGACGACGTACAGTACAGTGAGCGGGCGTGAGTGGGCCTTACTGGCAGCCTATACGGCACTAACAGTTACTCATTAATCCAGAAGAAGTACAAGTTCGGGTACAGACACAGCTACAGGTACAGAGATCTTTAAATTCAAAAGCAAATCTACAGGTTACAGGCATAAAAAAATAAGTCCAATTATGTATTTTAAAACCTACCATACAGGTACAGATACATGTTTCGATACAGCAGTTTCATAGTGATACTGTATTCATTATCCTGGGCAATATATACTGTATATTTCATAAGACTTCCTAATGTTGCCATATTATATACTCGTATCAAGATCTGTTTTTGTTATCTGATTTAAATGAGATATGAATTTCTTGTATTGAAGATTATTTGTAAATAAAGTTTTCTATAAATCATTGTGAGTTGTATGACCTCACAGCAGAAGAGTCATTAATTAAGATAAGTTTATGATCTAAGCTGAATCAACAAAGTCGGGTCCACCTTAAGATGAGACAACCCCAGCTTATTTCACCTGAAGATTATCCATCCTAACCTAACCTATTCTAAACTAACCTAACCTAACCTAATCTAACCTAACCTAACCTATTCTAACCTAGGACTAACAGTGAAAAATTTATTAGATGAATGAATAACAGAGGAGAAATAGGTATGACGTGTGGTGTGAGGGAGTGGTGTGAGGGAGTGGTGTGATGAGGCCAGAAGTGGTGTGGGGGGGTCAGGTGTGGTGTGATGAGGCCAGAAGTGGTGTGAGGGGGTCAGGTGTGGTGTGAGGGAGTGGCGTGAGGGGGCCAGGAGTGGTGTGAGGGGGCCAGGTGTGGTATGAGGGGCCAGGAGTGGTGTGATGAGGCCAGAAGTGGTGTGAGGGGGCCAGGTGTGGTATGAGGGGGCCATGAGACACTATTATTGTAGTGGACTCTCTCCCCTACAACTGCTGATTGATCACTTGCCGATCTGTCTAACTGATCCGGTAGATTCGTATAAATACCCCCAGCCTCGCCGTGAAGGTCATTCTACTCAACGCTCTCAAACAATCAAGACCTCCTCTCATCAAGCTATATATATATAGAAAACGCCATTGTGAGTTTCCCATCTCACCTCCAACCTAGAGCGAGATCTCCTACATGTACGTATGTATATGAGCCTAACAAAGAGAAAATAATCAAACACAAAGAAAAATTTGACAACTGGCTACATACACCATACTACATTGTAACTGATCATTTTCTCACGTTTACGTGTTAGAAAAATAATGTTTATTGCTTTTAATGTTTTCTATTAATTTATTATAAATGAAAATGAAAATATTTTAGGTATAACTCCTCAGTTTACATCATCTCGTTTCATCGATTGAGTCGGTTGGTGCATTGTGGAAGAAGGCGTCAGGGCTTGTGTGTTCCTGTGTTAGTTTCATTAATATATTTAATTATAATAGTGTAATATTATTTAGGATTTATCAATTCATAGTTTGATTAATTTCTTCGGTCAATAGAAATTACCAATAGATAGTAATTAAAGTTTTAGGCTCAACTTTATAAAAACAATTTATTTCTTAAATATCATCATCATCATCATCACACTTGCACTAAATCACTACCTGCTGAAATACCCGAATCACCTACTCAATCACTATCTGTTTGTTGTATCACCACCTAAACCATCTGCTGAAAAACCATCTGATCCTAATATTAGAATAGTCTAAACAATGTACTGACTGTATCTCGACTCCAAGCTCGCGTCCATCAAAGATACTATTGAATACAATCCGAGTCTGTCCAAAAGAAACCTTAAAACTGTAATCATGAAAGAACATTGTTTGCCATGATGAGATGTATCAAGTAAAACATGTATATGGAGCAAGTAACAAGATCACTAGATTACAAGATGTTGTAACCGCTAGACCAAGGTTAGGATATAAGTACCTCTGGCAGTATGTCCCTCAGGCAGATGTGAACAAAACTAAATATAAAGTGTGTGGCCAGACACAATGTATTTGAAATACTCTGAATCATTCAATGCACTCCCTTTGTGACCTCTACTCAGTAATCCTTTATCACTACTGCTCACAGGATGGGTATGGGGTGCACAATAAACTAGTTGCTTTCTATGGCATAATAATAATAATAATAATAATAATAATAATAATAATAATAATAATAATAATAATAATAATAATAATAATAATTATAATAATAATTTGATCACCAGCACGTTTACAGGGGAAGGGAGTCAATATGACCATGGTAATAGGCCACACTTGACCAAACACTGTAGCAGTGAGAGTGGCCCAGAGGAGGAAGATCAATGTGGCCATGACGATGTGGTAAGCATTTGTGTGGCCAGGGTGTGAGGCAGGGAGACAGGCAGGCAGTCATACACACACACCACCACACCACACCACACCACACCACACTACACTACACCACGTCTACACCACACTACACGACGTCTACACTGATTTATCTATGGAGGTAAGATACACAGTGTTTTGTTGTGTTTCCCTGGTTGTATTATATTAATTCTTTGTGTTGAAGGTAAAAAGAAAATATACAGTGCGTCTTTGGACCTGGAAATCAATACCATGTTCATTCTCATCACCTAAGCTTGACCCATCAACAAGATCTACAAAAAATCCAGAAGTTGGGGAGGCATCCATATCCCAGTCACATTCTGGTAACAAGTGTGATGTTATCTTCTACAGGCTGACGTCAATCTCAGAGCAAGACCCGCCAAACACATCAGAATTTGAGAACACTGGCACGTCCCGAGGAATGGCGACCAGTTAGACCATCTAGTTACCTTGCTGACTTCACTTGTGACCAGGGTTATCAATCTCCAAATCTTTTACATCCCAATAACATCAATTCAGAAACACTCACTCTGCCTTCCACACCCTACCACATCCTCACACCTGCTGGTACCTGATAGAGTAAAGGAGAAACCTCTAAGCACACAAGCACACCCAAATAACATATTGAAGAGGTTAAATTACCACAGTTTACCGTCTACAGAACAACAGGTGAGGACTGAGGCGGAGCTCGTCCTTCACTGAGCTGGGCCAAGGCTGGAGGGGAGGTGAGGTGAGAGCAGCACGGTTCAACATCTACTCAGAGGTCAACCTTGAAGAAGTCAGCCTCGGTGATGAAGTCAAATTAGGTGACCTTTATAGTCTGCGATACTGTCCTGTTTTTATGACTCATCTCCAAAAGTGACTCACCCTCAGGAGTGACTCACCCTCAGGAGTGGCACACCCTCAGGACTGAGTCGCCGCCAAAGGAATCATCCTCCATAGATGACTCACCACTGTAAATGCATTGTCTAATGGTAGACCCTGCTGCCATATGGCATCACGAAAATAGTGACCAAGTCCCAGGTTGCTGATCCGACTTTCTGCCTCATTTACACACAACTGCAGGGTCTCAATTGTTTCTCTTACAACACAACATACATATATTGTTCCTCACTCTTGATATTTTTATTATTTTTTTTGAATTTATTTATTGCTCTATATTATTATTATTATTATTATGATTTATATTTATTATACATTATTATTATTATTATTTTCTTTTATTATAATTGTTATTTATTTTGAAATAGTGTTAGTAATTTTATTACTACATTATTATCATTATCATCATCATCATCATCATCATCATCATAATCATTATTATTATTATTTTATTATATTTTCGCCCCCCCCCCAGGCCTTGATGTGGGTCATTAAAAATGACTTGTGCCTGGGTGGACTAATGACCGCAAAAAAAAAGACTCACCACTAATAATGCACCACTGTAGAGACTCACCACTAATAATGCACCACTGTAGAGACTCACCACTAATAATGCACCACTGTAGAGACTCACCACTAATAATGCACCACTGTAGAGACTCACCACTAATAATGCACCACTGTAGAGACTCACCACCAGCACTTATCATCACTATCATCACTAACACTACTGTCACCACTATCATCACCAATAGTGTCATCACCATCACTACGAAAGAGTGTTGTGTTATAATTAGTGTTAGTTTATCTGTGTATAGTGTCACCTGTGTATAGTGTCACCTGCGTAAAGTGTAACCTGTGTGTAGTGTCAACTATGTTTAGTGTCACCTGCGTAAAGTGTAACCTGTGTATAGTGTCAACTATGTTTAGTGTCACCTGTCTATAGTGTCACCTGTGTAAAGTGTAACCTGTGTGTAGTGTCAACTATGTTTAGTGTCACCTGCGTAAAGTGTAACCTGTGTGTAGTGTCACCTATGTTTAGTGTCACCTGTCTATAGTGTCACCTGTGTGTAGTGTCAACTATGTTTAGTGTCACCTGTCTATAGTGTCACCTGTGTAAAGTGTAACCTGTGTGTAGTGTCAACTATGTTTAGTGTCACCTGCGTAAAGTGTAACCTGTGTGTAGTGTCAACTATGTTTAGTGTCACCTGTGTAAAGTGTAACCTGTGTGTAGTGTCAACTATGTTTAGTGTCACCTGTCTATAGTGTCACCTGTGTAAAGTGTAACCTGTGTGTAGTGTCACCTAGGTTTAGTTTCACCTGTCTATAGTGTCACCTGTGTATAGTGTCACCTGTGTAAAGTGTAACCTGTGTATAGTGTCAACTATGTTTAGTGTCACCTGTCTGTGCAGGCCAAATTCCAGAGAGTGTAACTCCAAGAAAAATACCCATAATTAGTGTCACCAGCAGGTCACCTGTGCAGGCTGCACCCATGTATAGTCACTTATGTCACCTATGTATAGTGTCTCCTATGTATAGTCACCTATGGATAGTGTCACCTATGTATAGTCACTTATGTGTTGTATCTCCTATGTAGTCACCTATGTATAGTGTCTCCTATGTATAGTCACCTATGGATAGTGTCACCTATGTATAGTCACTTATGTATAGTCTCGTATGTATAGTCACCTATGTATAATCACCTATGTATAATCACCTATGTATAATCACCTATGTATAGTGTCTCCAATGTATAGTCACCTATGTGTTGTGTCCCTGTGTATAGTCACTTATGTGTTGTGTCACCTATGTATAGTCGCCTATGTGTTGTGTCACCTGTGTATAGTGTCACGGGGTTAATTAGGATCTGATTACCTGTGAGTTAGATTGTAAAATAAACCCCAAACTTATTGTTGTTCTGTAATTTACCTGTACCTACTTTTACTTCAATAAACCTGAATACTTTCTAAGACAGACACGCAATCACGACTCAACTAGAAGGATTTTCCTGTAATTTGTAGTTTGTAATGGTTACTAGACCTTGCAAGATGACCGCGATATTACAGCCTTCGTGAATTTCCCCAGTTTGGAGGAAACTTTCTCTGTAACACCAACACTTCTTGATATATCCAACTTTGTACTATTTTGTAGCCACTGTAATCTTGTAGAAGCATTGTAACCCCCTGTACCCGTGCATAACTGTACCTTTATACTGTACCACTGTATCGCTTTCTAATTTGCGTGTTTCACTGTAACAAGTATTGTGTGACCGGAAGCAGTGGACGCCAGTTACTGAAATAAAACTTGCCTCCCACAGTACTGGTAGACTCCCACAGAACTGGTAGACCCCACAGTACTGGTAGGTCCCGGTACACTCTCATCAACCGGGATCTAAGTTTTTCCGTCCTTTATATTAACTCAAGTGACAGGATAATTAGATTCATTAACACATCAACGTTATTTTTAAATTCTGTAGCACTTTTAATCACGTCCTTGTTCTTAACTTTCATCTCCCTTCTCCCTCCTTCTCTCCCCCCCTTCCCCTTCTCACCTCACCCCTCTTCCCTCCTCCCACCCCCACCATGGTCCCTTCAGTTATCAGGTGTCGTCAGAAAACATGCTGGTCGCTATATAATCAGTGATGACTTGGAAAGGCTGCACAGTATCCCTTAACTCGCTGCTGATAACACGGAAACCAAAGGTGGGATGGTAACTACAGACACTCATACAAACACTCACAGACATAATCACACACGTATTGTATATTATAGTTGAAAGTTACATAAAATTCCCTACGTGTATATTTATATTTTGGAAGTATTGTCTATAGATGAAAGTAAATTTTTCCTCTATGCGATTGTCTGAATGTTTCTCCACTAATACGAAAGATATTTTGCACAGACGAAGATGCGAGTGACAGTGTGTTTGATGATGGTAGTGATGGCGGCTGCTTATCCCGATCATTCACGAGGTAACGGAGGACACCACCAGCAGAATTTCTTGACCTCCGCTTTGTCAGGTGCAGCTCAAGGTGTCCTGGGGGGGATACTCTATGGCAGTGACCCTTACCACAACCACGGCTACCGCGATCACCACCACGGCTACAACAACCACCACCACGGCTACAACAACCACCACCACGGCTACAACAACCACCACCACGGCTACAACAACCACCACCACCATGGCTACAATAACCACTACCATCATCCCTACCACCACAACCACTATCCAAGTTATGGTTACTTTGGATAAATTTGTCATTTTCACACGTATTATGCAGACGTGTAAACAAAGAGGGCTAAGGATTCTGTTAGCTTCCCTTGAGTTGATTGATATAGCAAAGTTTTCTATTATTCAATATTTATTCACGTCATTGTATCAAATATTCACTTAAGTTTATTTATGTTTTGCAATATTCATCAATTCTCAAGGTTTAGATAATATATACACGTGAGATAAACACCTGATCTTTGACTCACCTGAACTATAAGTTTTCATTTTATTTTTTGGTTAATTTTCTTATGGGTGTCTTTTAATATATCTCACCCGAAACAATGTGCTCACTCTGTTCCTATAAATGTACTTTATGATTACTAATTGCACTACTTTACTGTAATTATCTGAACTAATGGACAGTCTGTGGGTTAAAACCGTACCACTGTATCACCCTATAACCTGTACATCATATCAAACTATGTACTTGTATTGACATTTCTGATACAGTTACCACCTGGAAATTACTGTAAACATATAGTGATCTTTCTTAATAAACCTTGTGTTCGTATTAATGTTTCCAGTATAGGTATAAACCAGTTGAGATTATAAAACTCTTTAAACTAGTTAAGACCATGAACCAATAAACCACAGTTAGAATCACAGAGCTATAAACCAGCTAAGACCACAAACTAATAAACCACAGCTAGAATCACAGAGCTATACACTTCACCTTCTCGTTTACTTGTTGAAGAAAACATCAAAACAGTCAAAGAAGAAAAAGGTGAATCAGGGACATTTCTTTGTGATGTCAGACACCGCCACCACCAGGGAACATAACAGCGAGTTTGCCAAGATATAATGCAGAACGAACAAAATGAAATACTTTGTCACACACAGGGTTTGTCAAGGACTTTAAAATAGCCCTTGACAAGATTATCAAGAACAATGGAGGGATTATACACGGGGCGCTGGCCACCTTTCCTCGACCTGGCCATCTTTATTGGATGGCCATTCGGTAAATAAGGTTAGATGACTTGAGGGAGCCAGCTATTAACTATAATACCTCAGTCACCCAATAAAAAAAGTTTGTTTTCTTTTATAACCATCTAATAGTCTAGTTTATGGATGGCTTAAATATTATTTCAACATATAACTATTAATTTAATTATCAATACTCTATGTACAGGGAATCGAAGTTAAAAATGATGGTTTTAATTAAATAATTGAACTTGACGGCACATAAAAAGAACCAATTTTTATTATTTCAACTATAAATACATAAAAATAATTCTAATATCTTGAGAAAAAATATGAATGAATCTAAAAATTATTCAGAACGTCTCAATACACAGAGGGAGTATCAAGAAGACTCAAGTCCGGTACAAAACGTAAAAATTCTCAAGACTCGGTTCTCGGACGTGATCGTTGAGTGATCAAGTATTATCGTTGGTGTGATTTTTATAAACTACTTTTTTTTCCAATTCCACCACAGATTTTCATTTATTATATTAAAAACAACTTATTAATGAAAATCCCGTCAATATATTCCAAGAAGTAAAGTACCATCGCCCCCCTTGTAGATTTCTTCCAGGTTACAAATATTAACACAGTAGCCACTAAAACCAATACACCTTAGTTCATAGCAACGATCAAACACTCTTTATCTACATCATCGTGAGACAATATTTACTACAGGTGAGGAGGACGCACACTCCCTCTCTAATTAAGGTAATACTTACAGGTAATGAATTCAGGGCCGAGAACGCTGACTGAATGTTCCCTACTCAGGTACACCGACAACCAATGTATCTTGGGAAAGTGAGTCCTTCCTTTGCGTATCGTCAGGAGGGTCACCGCGTATCGTCAGGAGGGCCATAGTTTTAACACACCAACCAACACTGGGGCTCCACACCTGAAAAAAGGGGACAATATGGTAATTAAGAACCAACTAGGAAAGGTAAAAAAAAGCAATTGAATCGCCTGAAGATAAGCCAATAGTTTATTTCACCTTAATATAAACCACTTGCTGTTGAAGATGGCAACTTTTCTGCTTCTGCATTGCCTCTGGTACACACACACACACACACACACACACACACACACACACACACACACACACACACACACACACTAAATGATCCACTACTCTTGTATCATCTTGTATATATTGTTCACTTCACTTCATTTTACTCAATTCAAGTTTAATTCGTTTAGCTAACATGTAATCTATAAGATGTCTTAATTAGTTATGAATTTTCTAGTCTTCATGTTAATTAGTTTTATACCTGTGTTTGTTGTGTTAGGTTAGGGTAGATTAAGTAGGATCCGAGAGGTCAGAAAATTCCTATAATTTATCTTTTATGCTGTACTGTATTCAGGGTTTTTTTTTGAATAGTAAAAAGTAATTACTATTGACCTTAGTATATCTCCTAATATCAAGTGCACATGGCCTCAAAATGCCCATCATATTGGACAGATTAAAACAAGACCGCTGGGTGTGCTGGCCTTACATGTTACCCCACCTACAACTTCTTTTTATCCCTCTTTTTTATACTCCTGGATCCGCCCCTGATAGGTGAGGTCAGAAGGCGAGTATGTGCCAGGGGGTGGGGGCGGTGTCAGTGGGGGGCGGCCGTCAGTCGGGGGGAAGGGGTGGGGCGGGCCGTGTTAGTGGGGGGGCGGGCCATGTCAGTAGGGAGGGGGGGACGGACAGGTCTTGGGAGAAGGTGAGGGGGAGGCGGACCAGGGCGAGAAAGAAAGGTGGAGAGCCAGGTCAGGGGGGGGTGTGGGCGGGTCAGGTCAGGGGGGAGGGGGGCGGGCCGTTCGATAGCCCGGGCCAGTAGCGCGTAGGCCGACCCACCTTACAAGATGGCGGCCTCGGGGTTCTCAAAATGGCACTTACCAAAACAAAACAAAATAAAGTGACTTTTTTTTCTTCTAAAAGTCTCAATTTTGGTTAATATTGTTTCGTACGTCACACAGGGATGAGAGCACGGTTGAGGGGCGTTGAGAGGCGGTTAGGGGAGAGGTGAGGGGAGAGGTGAGGGAGGGGAAAAATGGTGTGTGAGGGCGGGCGGTGAGTGGCGGTATTGATGACGTGTCAGAGAGGGGCGGCACGCGCACACTAATTTGTTGCCAGACCCAAGATGCTGCCGCCCACCCGCCCTGCCGCCCACCCGCCCGCCCCCAGGCCAACCAACCCGACATTCTCTCCCTCCTCCTCCTCCCCCTTTTACCTCCTCCTGTACCCCCATCCCCCAACATCCGCTATCCCCCCCACTCCTCTCTCCTCCTCCTCCTCCTCCAACACCACACTCCTCATCCTCCTCCTCCCCCAACACCACACTCCTCCTCCTCCTCCAACACTAAACACTCCCAATAACACATGTAGCTGATGGTGATGGTGGTGAGGGAGGTTGTGGTGGAGGAGGAGGTGGAGGTGATGAGGGAGGGTGTATTAGTAAGGGTGAGATTAGTGACGAGGAAAGTCAGTGGGAAACCCCTCAACACACACACACACACACACCGCCTTGTTGTACGTCATATTACACGTAGCAAATCAGGCGGGTCAAGGTTAGGTTAGGTTAGATTAGGATAAGTTACGTTAAATTAAGGTAGATTATCCTTGTTCAAGTTAGATCAAGTTAGGTTAAGATAACATAAGAGAAGTTAATCTTCAGGTGAAATAAACTGGGGTGTCTAATCTTCAGGTGATCCCCGAATTGTAATCTAAGTTCCATAAATCATTCAATACACCGCCTGCCTACTGAACACACAAGACCTAGCGGCCGGTAAGTGAACCAGGGAACTCTTGTTGGCGCGGAGAACGTTCTGCCAGGGGACCCATAAGTTATGTGATAGCGGTGGGATTCGAACCCACGCCTCCTGAGAGACTGGAGCCTAAATCCAGCGCCTTAGACCGCTCGGCCACGCTACCGTTCCTTTAGAGCACACACATACATATATACATATCTATAAATACATACATACGTACGCGTACATACAGTACATACATACATATACACGCATTACATTATATACACATGAATAATATACCTTGTATGAGCGAGGTGTGTGTGTGTGTGTACGTATGTATGTGTGTGCATGAGTGGGATGTGGTGTGAGTGGGAAGGGTGTGGTGGGCAGGGTAGGTTATGAAGGGTAGAACGGGGTGTAATAGGTGGGTAGGACAGGGTGGGGGTGGGTAGGATAGGGTGGGGGTGGTAGGATAGGGTGGGGGTGGGTAGGACGGCAGTAGTTTATTGTGCACCCCATATTCATCCTGTGAGCGGTAGCGGTAAAAGGATTACAGAGCAGAGGCCACAAAGGGCGTTTATCAGACCCCAGTGATTTTGATATTAAGGCAATGAATATTACAGAGTATTTCCAGTATATTGTTTCGTTAGTTCAGTACACAGGAGTTGACATATTCACAATCACACCAGTGTGAGGGGCATACAACAGTGTGTGGCCATCTGTCAGGCCACACACCTTACATTTAGTTGTGTTCACATCTGCCTGAGGGACATACTGCCAGAGGTACTTATATCCTAACCTTAGTCTACCTGCTCCAACATCTAGTGATCTTGTTACTTGCTCCATATACATGTTTCACTTGATACATCTCATCATGGTAAACAATGGATTGACTAGTGCCTGTTTGCACTTGTCTACTGACTTCAAATCCACCAACAAGCTTTGTCCTGACTTAGAGTGTGTTCAACTGTGACTTTGTTGGACGCGAGTTTATCTAAGGCATCAACTCTATCATGTTCACTGAAGCCCATGTGAGAGGGGATCCACAGCAGCTTGATCCTGACACTCGTATCAGTAAGGTACGGTTATAGTGTCTGACTTCAGAGACAAGCGAGTGACAACTGACGTTCAGGATGTCAAGGTCCAGTACTGAGGATAAGGAGTCAGCGATGATGAGAATGTCAGTGGGTGAATGGGCTGGGAAAACAGGGTAGGTGTGGGTAGGGCAGAGTGGGGGTGGTTAGGGCAGGCTGTTGGTGGTGGTGGGTGAGATGCAGTTCTTTACTCCTGATAGTGACCGACGTGTGTAATGTGGCATCACCGCTAGACGCTCCTTGAGGAAGTGACCTTAACCTTCCACTCAACAACCTTCACATCTCACAAAGGCACCACGACGTTCATTAGTATACACACGTGGGAGATACAACCTTCAACCCTATTTTATTTCAGCTCTCTTATCTCTCCCCACCCCCCTCCCTCCCCCACCTTCCCCCTTCCCCTCTCTCCCCCCTCCCACGGGAATTCTAGACTGAAATAGAGGCATTGGAGAATAACCGATCTCCATCCATCCGTGAGTCAGTTTATAAACATGATTTTTTTTTCCTCTCGAGATCATAAATTCACCTTGAAGTTTCTACCAACACAATAATACAAAATAATGAACTTCAAGATTACATAAAAACACACATTTAAAGCAAACAAAACACAAACATTAACCTATTTTTTGTTAGTAATTTGATATGTTATTTGTTAGGTATAGAATGTGAGTGTTGACTGTGTCTTCCGTTAGATATGCTGCCTCCCCATACTGTCCAGTCACTTAGAAGGGATAATGAAGGACTTGATAATGAAGGACTTGATAATGAAGGACTTGATAATAAAGGACTTGATATGAAGGACTTGATAATGAAGGACTCGATAATGAAGGACTCGATAATGAAGGACTTGATAATGAAGGACTTGATAATGAAGGACTTGATAATGACGGACTTGATAATGAAGGACTTGATAATGAAGGACTCGATAATGAAGGACTTGATAATGAAGGACTTGATAATGAAGGACTTGATAATGAAGGACTTGATAATGAAGGACTTGATAATGAAGGACTTGATAATGAAGGACTCGATAATGAAGGACTTGATAATGAAGGACGATAATGAAGGACTTGATAATGAAGGACTTGATAATGAAGGACTTGATAATGAAGGACTTGATATAATGAAGGACTCGATAATGAAGGACTTGATAATGAAGGACTTGATAATGAAGGACTTGATAATGAAGGACTTGATAATGAAGGACTTGATAATGAAGGACTTGATAATGAAGGACTCGATAATGAAGGACTTGATAATGAAGGACTTGATAATGACGGACTTGATAATGAAGGACTTGATAATAAAGGACTTGATAATGAAGGACTTGATAATGACGGACTTGATAATGAAGGACTTGATAATGAAGGACTTGATAATGAAGGACTTGATAATGAAGGACTCGATAATGAAGGACTTGATAATGAAGGACTCGATAATGACGGACTTGATAATGACGGACTTGATAATGAAGGACTCGATAATGAAGGACTTGATAATGACGGACTAATTAAGCTAAGGAATAGATATGAGGCAATCGGAGTATAGGTTAGGTAAACAAAGCGTTAGGCCCTGGGTATGTTTTGCTGGTGAAGAAACACGTAAAAGTATAATTTGTTGGTTAAGGAATGTGTTGGAGACCCTTTTGTTGGTGAAAATACTGCTGAAACACCACGTGACATGTCAAATATATATATAAACAACACACACACACACATACACACACACCATAACCGCATCCAGCCCATACGTGCACGAACTGATCGCTATAAGAACAGCCCAGTCCCAACCATTGTAAAAATTATCAATAACTTGTAATAAATCAGTGTATTCACTCCCAGTAAACACTACTCCTTACACTGTCACTATGTTGAAATGAATTGTAGTTTGAGCTTTTCCCCATCTAGTTATTATATGTCTTATTTGTGTCACTTATGTTACTTGTGTATTATTTGTAATTCGTAACCCATTCCCCAAATATGTAACTG